GACCTTGAAAAGGCCGTAAGCAGTGTTTTGCGCCATGAGTGCTAATCACATGATGTCGCCACATCCAGGCCAACATGTCCCTATCGCACCACGTGTTGTCGCAAGTTGTTAGGCAAATCGCCATGCCCACGATTCAGAAACTAATTATTATATAATAAATTGCCCTGCTTAGCCCAAGACATTAATTAAATTGACAAGCCGTATGGCCAGGAAGTGGAGCTAACTTTGATTGGTTGAGGTGCGAATAAACCAAAGACTCGCATTACTGAAGTTGGTCACACCAAATGCTAAAGGCGCCAACTAGGACGGAATTCAAAGTAGATGGACGATTTCGAAGTATTTTTTGTCATTCACCTGCGTGGAAGTGCGATTGGTTGCTGGGGGTGCAGATGCACCACAATCCTGCTCACCGTTGCCGTCTTAGAAGCGGTTAGTTAAAAGATTTTTAAGGGGTAACACAACCAGGCTTAGACACAGCAGTTTATTCACCCACCAGGCCAGGCAATTTCTTCTTTGTCCAGAGAAAATTTGGAATGTCGCAATAGCAGCGCCATTCAGACCCCTTGCTACCTAAGAGGGCAGTAAATCAACCCTCTTTGTTGCCGCCTTCAGTGGTCAATGGACTCACAAATTAGCCTTGGGAGTTGCTAGCTCTGCTTTACATGAGGCCTCTGCGTAGTCAAAACAGCTGGTTGTGTTTGCAAACGATTCCTCTTGGTTATGCCAATAGCTTCCAGAAAATGCTGCATTTAAGAACGGCTTGTACGAGAGCGTTGGTTCGAGTAATTTGCGCCAAGGTTGTTGGCGCTATGAAAAGTAAAGTACCGGAAGTCAATTTGGTGCGATTGGCGGTGGCGATGAGTCCGGAAAATTGCTCCTCTTCAACTCCAGCTCAGATGTGCACACACATGCACACACACTCTTCCCCCCTCGGTTGCCATAGTAACAAGGAGCTCAGTAGATTGACGTGATTGTATAGACGTAGACGTAAATAAACTCACTGTGATGGTTTCTCCTACACCAACAGAATATGTCGACTTCGCGTTCTGACTAAACAGTCACCATTCCCCGTAATGCCTCACTGAAATTTTGTTGCTTAGCCGCAAAAGCATGCGTTAGATAAACGACACAAATGCACACACAGCAAACATTGATTGGGTTTGTCTTCTGACATAATTAATTGCACTTTTCAATAAATTATTCACGGTTTCTGGGATCTTCGTTTCAATGGCAAATGGGCACACGGGTTGAATATCAGAGTAAAAAAAAGGAAGCAAAGCATTTTTTCAAAATATTTGAACAATACAGTATCTACACTGAGAAGGCGTTACGGGTGGTTCTAACTGTCGGATTCGCAGAAACGAGGGGCTGGGCAAGCGCTGAATTAAGTTGTGAAGTAGACCACCTCACACACTGTACAATTTTAGACCCGTCTTGACGAATTTATCAGCGATGTCCGGGTGAGAGTGTGGGCTAATTGGTACTGGTCAAAACATCGGATTCGCCAGCTGTGGATGCCTCGATGTAGGACTCGAATTGACGTACCAGTAAACGGATAAGAAACTGCATGAGAATTAGCTTGAAGTGAGTCAACCTCTCACAGTCGATCGATAAATCAGGCGGGAGTGGAAGTTGTAAATTCACGTGAGCTTTTGTAGCGATGGGAATCACATCGTTGTCATGAGGGGCATTCGTTCAAACGAAGGCCAAAATCCGCACGAATTCAGAAGCTATGAAGTTGCATTGGGGAAGATGTCGTGGCAATTCAGATTTTGTTGACGAAGGCATGAGGGTCAATTAAACTTATCAAGTTGTTCACAACAGTCCCTAAATGCAGCCCCCTGGATCGCATCAGGGGAGCTACTAACAGACTAACAGGCTTGGCTGTGTCATTCAAAGGTCACTGAAGGTGTCAGCGAAGGCCTATTCAAGCAGAATCTTTCTAGTACAGGTTTGTATTGAGACGATTGGTCACGGTGACACAACTCGTGGCTTTTCATTGGCTCCCACGAGCTCAGCCAAGCATAATTTGACTATTGTGCCGAATTTTGCAGCGAATGTATATCGACAAGTAAAGCGACATTTTGCAAAACATCCCACACCTTTGACAGTTTAATTCCACCAGCACTATGAGTGATCATTCACAGTCAAATATTGACGTATTCAAGCCTCTTGATAGGACAATTGACCTTCTAATTGAAATTGGTTCTTTGTGCATCTCGTATGACCCTGACTGACCAATGGCTTTGCAATTGCAAAACATCGATTTTAACAACCAATGGGATTACGAGACACTTGCTCAATGCTGCACAAATAGCCTACAAGGAATAACTTGCCTGCAGAAACACATTTCGCATTCGATTTCACATTAAACTGGCAGAGAAAAATAAATTTGTCAGGCAACCTTTTGTGTTATCACGGTCAGACTTGATCAACAAACGTGTGCCCTGACACACGCAAGCTGAATTAAGGGAATAATTTATGGTTAATGCGGCAAAACTGTGATCAACAAGTTTCCATAAATCCAATTCACTTCTTCTCTGACCATACAAATTGTAGCAAAGTAAATGCAACCACAACGTTACAAGCTAAAGCAAAGATTCAAAAAATTTGAGAAAAGACACGACAAAAGACGAATTAAAAAGAAATCCATAAAAGCGAGACTTCGCCATGCCTGCTTACCTAATCCGATGTCAAACAATCAAGGCACTAAAATTTTAGTGGTTCATAAATCTAAATTAATACATATTTTTTTCCGATTGGTCAGTTGGATGTTGTGCTTTGTGAAAAGACCATCCACTTTCCAACTGCGATCATCTTAAGTCGAATTCGTAAGTATAAAATGCTAATTTAAATCTTGCTACTAACCCGAATTGCGTAGACAGTAAAGAACTTTTAAAATAATTATGGAGATTAGTAACCCTGATACTCTTAAAAATACCTGTCTAGCAGCCTGGGAAATGGTTTGCCTCATGCACCCTTGACCCAACGTGCGCACGATTATAAACAACGTATCCCTCTTTTAATTATGCATGTAGCTTCGTTAGCAGCCTGCAGTTATGTGCATCTAGGTGAGTTTGGTTAGCAGGAAGATGCTTTTTTGCCTTTAGAAAAGAACAGCAGGTTTTTTTAAATGCACTTTGCCACCTACCTGACTACTTCATGATTTCGAACGCGCAGACAAACCGGACCCCAATTACTGACTTGTAGTGTGATGTGATTTCTTGCGGATCCGAAAAATTCGGGCTCCACAACGAGCTGCAGGCGCTGTGCGTGGCGCAACACCCCACCTCTTGCACTGTCACGTGACTGCCAGCTGATTCAATTATGGCTTCCAACCGGTCATCATCGTCACGTAGACGTTTTGTCAAGCAGTCGATGCCCCCACGTTCACAGGCAAAAGTGCACGATAACGACCAAACATGCGTGCACTTCCGCAGAAGCTAATTTCATCCACAAGTTGCAACGGATGACCCCGCACAGTTGAACGCCTGCATTCAGTCACGCTGGCAAAACCTACACTACGCTACCACTAGAACGCAAGAAACCCAACTCTGAAACGGCTTTGGATTATGCACGTGGGTTTTCATTGGTACACGCTAAATGGAATGGATGATCGTGTTATCGAATACACAGCTGAATGTGTTGTGCCTGTCGAAGCCACGACATTTCCCACCCCCGAAGACAAACTAGACCTGATAGTCATCTGCGACATCAGTCCACTTTTTGACAATTGTCAAAGCAGAAGCCCAAAATGCAGACGGCGCAAGTAAATAAATGAAATAAAGCACTTTATTACCATCACGCGTGTACCTACTGCGAGAGTCGTTAGCGTCGAATGAAGTAGAGGTATGGCGTATGGAAGAAAAAGGAACAAATTAAAGAGAGAGAGAGAGAGAGTAAGAATTGGCGTGATCACTGAAAGACAACATCCTTTCTCCCTGGCTTGCTTGGCCAGCTCAGCTGACGTTGCACAGGATGCGGAGCTGGTCGTTGTAGAGCGAGAGACGCACGGAGGCGGCGCCCTGACTGCCCACGGCGAACATCGACGGGTCGGTGACGCGTGGACCGCCCTCGTAGAGCCTCGGCGGTGCCGACGTCGCGGTCAACGCATCCGTGGGCATGTCGGCTGCGGAGGTCGGTCGCGTTCGCAGGGAATAAGAGACCTCGGCTAGGGGTGGGAGAGATCAGAGCGAGGCAAGAATGAGTGGCAGGGGGTGGTGGGGCACAGAACAGGAACAAGTCAACGAGGATCAAAGCGGAACCGAAATCAAACTAACAAACAACGCGACGGTAAAAGCGACATGATGGTGGGAGGGAGAGAGGGGTGGCGGGGTGCTAAGTCGGTGGAAACTCTAAACCATGCATACGAGCGTTGACGTGGATGAGATCGTAGATGGCCTCGATTGCCGTGCCGACGCTCCAGGCCTGCGAGGTGCAGCTTCCGGGGCAAAACTGAAATTATGCCAAAACAGACGGGGGTTAGGCAGGTTGGGTAAAATTTACTGAACCGCTGTGTGACGCAGACCCACCTCGCCGTTGGCTTGGGTCAGTTCGGGGAGCGAACGCCACGGTGAGGAGCGCAGGTGGTTGTTCAACCTCAGCATGATCTCCTGGCACTCGCGCAGCACCCTGGCACGCGAGCACAGCAGCTTGTTGTCCAGGTCGATGAGTCGTTGAACCATGATGAGCTTGGCGCGGATGTAGTAGCCCGTCAGCCAGAGCCACTCCGGTCCCTGTACAGAGGCAAAAAAGAAAACACCACACAGGGATTAGACCACACACACACACACACAACGACGTGTCGCATCTGATTCCCTATTGGTCGAGTACACCAAATTCAAAAACACAACCATCCCGGTTCAATGCACCTGGTGGTAGTTGAAGCCCTGAGCAGTGTAGAAGTCGCAGCTGTCGTCGCTGTTGTTGTAGGCGCACCTATAGTCCTTGTCACGTGGGTCCAGCGTCTTCATGCCAAGAGGCCCAACCAACTGCTTACGCGTCAACTCAAGCGCCTTCCAGGCCTTCCACGTGTCGAAGAGGTCTGGCGCCTGAAATGTTCAAAGAACCGGTGGATAGACATGGGGTTTCGCGAAGCCCACTCACTACCACCTCGGCGAGACCACTTACCACCGTCATGGCGACGAGGAAGTTGGGTCTCAGTTGGGCCTCGGCGTTGGCATCGGAGGAGTCGTGGAGGTCTTTGTAGTAGCCCTGTCGGATGAGGCTGCCACCGCACGTGTTCTCCTCCTCGGGCAGCCAAAATGCCTCCTCAAAGTTGTTGTGTATCTTCGTGGCCCAGTCGTTCCACGTCCACTTGGCGCCGTTCGGCATCTCCACACCCTCGTGTGGGTAGTAAACTTGGCTGGCGGTGTGCGCTCGGTCTAGCCACGTGACAACAGCGTACGCAAGGCCAACGAGCTCGACAGCACAGCCATCGCGTGGAGTGGCTGGCTTTCCACGATTTCCAGCCTTCTCCGAGCTTCCCATCTTGTCCATCCACGTGCCGCAGTTGTGGGGGTTCCCGCCGTAGACGAAGCCAGTGCGCTCCTGGATGCCAGCTTTAACCTAGACCGGGGTAAAAAGGAAAAAGAAGACAATGGAAAACGGGACGGTGCAACTGAGGTGGACTTGCCATCGTCTAAATGACTGGCTCACATTAAAGCCCTCAGTGACCATTTGGCAATCCAACTGGTAGCCGGCATTCCTCTCGCGGAATTCGATCCCGGAGGCGTGGCGTTGAAGGGCCTCCTGCATGACGTCGCAAAGAGGCATCACACGATCCTCGGGGGGATTGTTGAAGTCGACGGAGCCGTTTTCAGCTGGCCATCCAGGCGTGTCGTCGTGGGGGAACCAGCGCAGCACGGGTCGGTTGAGGATGGACTTCTTGGCCCCGCCGATCGGGGTGCCCTCGGACGCCGCCAAGGCATCTTCGAAACAGCAGATCGCGTAGAGCCAGAACCAGACGGCGTCGCGAGCGTTGTAGCGCGGTGCCACGCACAGCCCGTCACCCATCAAGTTGGGGATCAAACCGTGGCGAAGCAGGGAGGCGAACTGGAGGATGGTGTTGGCTGCCTCCTGATCGATAAGACAAGACGCAAGGATGAGTCAGGGTGTGGGGGAGTAAGTAAATACCAACACGAGTACACAAAGACCGTCGACTTCAAGTTGATTGGTGCCTCTAAACCAAACCTGCATTTTAATTGGTCATGACACACAGCCAATCACCACGCAGAACAAGGGAACTCTATAAATACGCCCACAATCACCCATGTAATTACAAATCGATCCTAGGTGGCGATGGAACGGTCGACTTGACATATTTTCCAGGTCTGTGTGAGTAGCCTGGGATTGTCAACGGCAGACATCGCTGCAGAGTGTCCGATTCTTCAAACGTTAGCGAAATTTACTCCAAAACGCTTGTTGAGATGCCAAATCCGTCGTCAGCGTCTACTACCTGCGATCGCTTCCACAGATTGGCTGCGCATTGCATCAGGTGAACTCGAGGTAACCCTCCTCCTACCACAAGCCGCCGATTTGCAACACGCCTGATGGTGCCCTGATGAGGTGCACAAACAAACACAACGCACCGAGGGACGCATATCGCAGCTTCCGCCTACAAACGCCTGCATCGCTGGTGTCTTATCAGAGTAAATACAAAGCCGTCTAACAGTCCTGGACAATCGTTCGGAAAACGGTGTGTGTGGTGAGAATTGACGTCTCGCTGGCAAACGGTGTCATTCAATCGATTTACATGGTTTTACAGTATTTAACACCACACAATATAAGTTTTTTGTTGCCCAAAGAAGCTAGTATATTACACCACCACCAACACACACACACACAGCAAACACTGTCCCCGATCAAGTGAACACAATGCGATGGCTAGACCGCAGGCTCAGCTTAGAACACCAAAATATGTACTTAGACAACGAAGAATACAATCTAGACTAAAATAAGCCTTCAGCATTGTGGCGAGGGCGAGCGCGCTTGGAAGCACTTTGGCTGCGTTGAGGGAAAAGGACGCCATCTTGATGCCTCAGTGGGTTCGAAATTATCAGTAGAGGAAAAAAGCGATTTCACCGTTATAACAAGGTCTCTTCGGATCTTGAGGTCTACAAACGTTACGGCTGGCGGTGAGGTGATGCTGGTTACTGTCGGTCGGACCAGCACACGCGCACACACAGTGACCGTGGTCCCAAATCAAACTAGTGTGCTTATGGGGTCAACACACACAGTGGCCTTGACCCTTCCGAACTACACGCTTGTTCATGGCACCAACACGAGCACGTTGACCTCCTCCTGAAACACACACACGCACACACACACACACATCAATCATGAGCCCCGCTTTGGCTTTTATCCATAGAGTCTATTCGAGGGAAGCTCAGACATTACGATCGCCTCTCCCCCACCGACTTGTAAGAGTTGGTGCGAATTTGTGTGACACAGAAAAACCAAAGGCACACACAATCGACAAACCTCGTATCTTTCCGTGAGGATGAGGCATCCACGCAGAGCGATGAAGGTGTCGCGACCCCAGTTGCGCCACATGCCCTCGGCGAAGTGCGGCAGACCAGCGGCGAGACTGCAGTTGTAGCGATTGGGGTCGTCGTCGCGTCCCTTGATGGCCGGCGCCGGCAGGATGGTGGGCAGTTGGATGTTGGGCGCGCGTCCGTACAGCTGCAGACTCGCCGTGACCAGGTTGCGCACCGTCGACGAGCCAAACTCCGTCCACTTGCCCACGCGCATGCTAATCTAGGATGTGTGAGGAGGTGTTACTTTATTCAACCACCAGGAAGCACAGGGTCGACAATCGCAATTGGTTAAAGGCGGCTTCTGGCCAATGAAAACGACTTCATGACGTCAACATGGACTAGGCAAATCCACGTAACCGACCATCAAGTCCAGAAGCCACGACTTGGCTACAAACATTACGAGCGTGACTTAATTCGTACAGAATTTTCCTCCAAGCTTAAAATTATACTTAAATGTAACTATTTTCGCGGCATTTTGTGCTTTGGAAAGGATTGGATGCAGAGTTTTAGAACAACGGACAACAAGGCTACATGAGTTAACCACCACGTCGCAGAACGGCACCGTTTACGATGGCACTGCATTTTGTACGAATTCCAAGAAGGAGCAAATGCTTCTAAAGAACAGGCCTAATCTGTTTGCTTCGTGCCGAAGTGTAAGCATTGGTGACTTCGATGTTAGTGATCAGCCACAGCTCAGGTTGGAGTCAAAAATCTGAACAAATTATATCATGGACGCAGTGCTTGGCAATAATGGAAGCTACGAACCACAGTAAACACCGATTCCCAAAGCTAATTAAGAATTAGAGGTAGTGAAACAGGCAAATGGTTAAACGATGGGCACTCTACCTCTTCCATGACTGTTTGATAAAGACAGCCAACCAGCATGCCGAAGCTCGAAGGTATGAGGTACTTTGGCAGGCCGTAGATCGGTTCAAAGAGCTGTTTCAGGGCGCGGGAAAGCGCGTCCAGTTGCCGGGAGGGATGAGATGGATCGTCCAAGGAGAGGCGGTCGTAGAGGTACGTCAACAGCCAGAGGCCCTGACGCAGATGCTGACAGATGGGGTGGCCGAGGTCGTTGAACTGCGCCACGTGACGCATCACCGAGACCACACCCTGGAGACCGCAGAACACCAAGTCACCGAAGCCGGGAACGTAGTAGGGCTTCCGGCCGATGCCGGGCACGTTCTCCTCGCGCTCACAACGGTACATGAGCCAGTTGATGTCTGCCAAGGAGAGATCCGTGACTAGACGCTTGATGAGGCCGTGGTCGACCGAGTCCGGGTAGACGGGAAGCAGTGTGTCCGCGATGGCCACGGTGTTGTTCGCGACGGAGCCCTTTCGTGCATCCACGCTGTGAATGCGCCGACCAAACTAAAACCCAACACAGCGAATGGACGATCCCACAGACCAGTGATCAGCACTACGGCCCTCCTTGTTTTACTGATCTCGCTAGCTTTTTGGGCGGTAGATCAAATCTGAGCAGAGCACTGTGCCCCGCATTAATTAATTAAGATGGTGCGTTTACCTTGGATATCAAACCAACGTTTACGAGACATGCTATCACCAACGGAATGCATTGTTTGAGGACAAGATAAGAAGCGGAAAAACGCGTTAATAGTAAACAAGATCACAATGACGACGACATCCACGAGCCAATGAAAGCGTTTACACAAAGCAGATTTGTTTAGAAGGTGGTGGGGGCGGAACATATTTCAGCCCCCCTTAATGCCAGAAGCCCATTGGATGGTCAGAGGCTACTAGCATTTATGCAGGGTTTTGACTATCCAGGCCACATGATAAAGTGCAAAACATTTCAGGCAACGGGCCTTGGCACGTAAACAATCACGCGGCCTGTCACAACAGGTCAGCGACCTCAGCGGTAGGATAGCGCGCACTGCATGCGATCGGGAAAATCAGCCAACACGAAGACAGAACTACTTTCAGATCACTCATGATGAACTAAAATGGACGGTATATCAGTAAAGTGCACAAGCTTTCCTCAGACAAGGTTCACCTTCGTGGGGTCAAACGGAGGTCACGTCAGAGTCCCCAAGGGGTCCCAAATAAGTGACTGTGTGTGAGCGCCTGTAATGCCCTGGCGTCAAAACTCGATGTGCATTAAGTAAGCGAGGGTGCGGGGCCACGCCACGCCGCGCCGAACTGACCTGATGAAGGAGGGCTCCACGCACGCGACTAAGAGCTTCGGTCTGGGCGTCGTTGAGGCAGACACTCACGGCGACAACGCAGCCCGGCGGGAAGTCGTAGAACTCGAGTGCGTCGGTGCCGCCGTTGTCGTCCAGGTGGACAACCTTGAACATCTTGCTCTTCGAGACCTCAATGTCCTCCTTCAAGTCGATTTGCACGTTGGTCAGGCCGTTGATGAACTAGAAGGCACACGCACACAAACACGCCCTGAATTATGATGCAGGTGGCAGAAGGGGCACATCGATGGGGTTGTTTGTCCGATTCATAAGCAAAAATTCGCAAATACCGAATAGCCAGTCAATGTAGTCAGACAATCGATAGACCTTGCACACCTGGGCTCAAAGCAATTACCGAGTTTGGTAGGTAAGATGTCATATCATTCATCACACCTCTGCTAACAACTACATTTCTAAATCCAAATCTAACTCACGCTTCAATTAGTCAAAATTAAAGAACCAGACGAAATTTGAGCATTTTTTAAGTAAAACGGATACTTTCTGCACCAACCACTTTGCAGGATCTCGAGGAATCGTTTCCGATGGTGAAATCGTTAACTGGGTTTCGCTGATGCAATGCATTGTCATTCATCCACCTCCCTCTACAAATAACCAACCCTCCAAATCT